TCTCGTCGATTAAGTCGCCGACTTCCTTGAAAATCGCCAGCGATTCTTCTATGTTAACAGACGAATTAAAAGAGAATGAATGTAATGTCTCAGTCGTGATCGTTGTTCATTTTCAAATAGAGACACAATTCGCGTGAATAACGATAATAAAAGTATACAAAAATTTTATACAAACGCACGGAAAAGGACTAAAGCATGAGATAGTCGTTACTGTCAGAGGGAAACGTTTCCGTGGGCAGTGGTAAAAGGACGAATTTTCCACGAGGAACCCGGCCTGGTTCTAAGTGGTCGTCGTTTGATGACGGTTATTACCATGATGCGCTGTTTCCTGCGACCGTGAGTATCTTCCACCCACACGTCGACAAGAAACGGCTTGCCCGGATCGTCTGTATGTGCCGGCTGCACACACGACGACGATGACGACGACGACGACGACGACGACCAACACGTAACGACCGATTCGTGCTTGTAGAGACCGCGTATAGATGTTGGCTGACTGAACACAACCGGGGAACACTTTGTACACTCTGTTCATAACTATTTCAATTTATTTTCTAATTTAATAAAAATTTACATAACAATAATCATATAACTATAATCGCACATTAATAGCATCTTATGAAAGGTCATACAATAAATCGTGAAAAGTTTCAAGCTTTCAATGAATTAATGCAAATAATTAAATAATATTTCAAATACGAAATTAACGTTCTTTAAACTTGGAAATTTTTTACATGCATTGAAATTTATTATGATCATTCATATTCGTAGAACGCCTCATTCACTTAAGGATTTTATAATATGTATGTATGTATGTCTTAAGACTTGAATGGGGGTGTACTTAGTACATCTCTTTTCCCGCAACCGCGTATTTCGTCATTATATAATATACTCGTTTACGCAGACAGAACATTATTGTTGCAAATATGTCATTAATGTCGGAAATCAGCAGCCCGTATTGTAACCACCCTTGCGTGATGCGGTTTTCGAGATTTCGCTTTTACGTGCCCCAACGTGCGCGTACCTGTACGTACACACATGCCCGCTGTACACACGGATGGTTGCCTTCTGCTCGCCGGAAGTCGGCAATACGTTTCTGCTAAACGAATCCCTGTCAGAGCCAGAGTTCTCAACTTCTCAAAATTGTCATTCTCTCTCATTTCTTGTCTACCAACATCAACCGTATTCTCAAGAGACCGCCGATTTTTAGTACTTTACAAATGTTCTAATGTAAATGGCCGAATTTTTGTTCACATCACATTTTCT